GGTGCTGCTGAGGACTACAAGTCCCGGCGTGCCCTGCGCCAGAACGCCGGCAGGGCCGGGGCGCTGTAGGCGCGCGGCCAGCTGGGACGTGTAGTCCGACTGTGCTGTGGCCCTCACCAGCCGCTGGCATGGCCGCAACTGAGCGCTCCCCGGTTCCTGAGGGCTTACGGGCTGCTGGACGCTCTGTGTGGGGTCTCAGACCCATTGCGTGGGGCCGCTGGAGGTCTTGGAGGAGTGGAGAAGGGCTTTGGGGCCGGGGAGAGGCAGGGGGAAGGGTTCCGCGTATGGGGCTGAGGGGCCGAAAGGGTCTGCGAGGGGACAGGGAGGCGGCCACAGGCCTCTGAGGAGGGCCCCTTGCTGCCAGTGGAGTCGGGGAAAGGATGGTCATTTTTGTGTGCTGCCAGAGGCTGCAGGGTGCAGCATAAAATCACTTTGGGAGAGCGAAGGCTGCGCATCTCGGGCGGCTTCTCCTGAGGGGCTGTGTTGGCTTGCCCTCGCCCCTTGCACCTCAGCACCTGCAGTTCCTGCCGGAGCCTGGAGAGGTAAGGCTGTGATGGTAAGGTCGGGCTTGTTCCTTGGCGGGCATGCCTCTGGCAGCCTGGCCTGAGATGTGATCCTGAGTGTCCAGCACAGAAGCGACTTTGCTGGTTTCAGCGACGGGAAAATGTTCAGATACCTTAGCACCAGTGTAAGTATTGCAGAGCTGACATCTTTGTTGCAGAGGTTTTTTTGCAGCTTCTTCCAGCAAGTTGTCTATCCTGGAGTTCAAGAGAGCTGCCAGCATTTCTGTAGTGTTGGTGTGATGTTAGCATTTGTGTATAGTCAAGGACTTCAGGCTGTTGTGGTCTAGGTGTTTTCATTGTTTTCATACCTCCCTCGCTGCTTGAGAGGATACCCAGACAAAATTACATCACTTCTTAATATAGTGGCAGAATATGTTAAAGAAGTATTTACTGTGGGATGAATGGTTGCACTTGGGTGATGAAGTTAATGATACAGAAACGCCTGTTGCATGCACAAAATACCCTCAAAAACATGTTTTCATCAATAAAAACAAAATCATACAGATGCTAAATGCCAATGCTAGTTGTACCATTCAAGTGCATGATGTCTGTTTGCTGTCACTGATTTTTGTTCTTTTCTTTCACCTTCAGGAAACTGAGTGTAAAACCCATAACAAATCCTCAGTATTTGGATAATGTGGGGAATCCAGCTGTTAATGGACTGTACGACTTGGCTTTGGGACCTCCAGACTCCAAAGAAGTGTGTGCAACTTGCATGCAGAACTTCATCAACTGCCCTGGTCATTTTGGCCATATAGAACTGCCTCTGACTGTCTACAACCCTCTGTTTTTTGATGTATGTATGCTTAATTATTGTCTTGCTGGTGAAATGGGTGATGATGATCAAGCTGTCCTACAGTTTGTAGTTCTTGAAGATAGTAAAGGTGCCAAGATAATAACAGCAAATGTGGTAGAAAAGGTTTATTTTGCATGAGAGTTCAATACAAATAGAATCCTTAGACTTTGGCAAAATATGTGCTTTATCGTAGCTGTTATTTTGCTCAATATTGACAAACAAGAGGGGGAATGTTGATTCCTAAACTATGTAACTGACTGTAGGGTCTCATGCCTTAATTAAATGGGTGGCACAGTAAAAACTATTAGTTGTTTCCTGTAAATGACTACTACAAACCTACATTAACAGCTGCCTACTTTTATCCTAGGAACAACAAGTGTTTCCTGGACATTCAGGGCTTGTTTTTCACTCTGAATAGCTGTGTTATACATTCTGCCCAGTAGATCCTCTTATTCCAGAATTTGTTTTAGAAAACTGGATTAATGTGGGTAGAACCCAACAACCTATCCAGTAATATGCTGAGTGATATGACATATGTGCCAAGTAAATGGAAGAATATGACATTGTAATGGAAAAATGCTAAGCTATATAGAAATCCATCAGTCTTTTTAATTAAAAAAATAAATAAATAAAAGGCTGTCAGGAAGACTTCTTGCATCTGAAAGTCAGATACACGTGCTTCGCGTAGTTTTACAACTGTTGCATTTACATGATGCGTGGGATACTTAACGTAAAGCAGAGATTTGCCATTGTGTGCATCTTTCGGGAAAGGTGTTTTGAAAGCTCCTGGTGATGGTGAAACTGCACATTTCTCCTAAGTGTTTCATGTGGGTGGTTTTTCAAAGGGTCATCTTTCAAATATAAAAGGATTCCTGTCTGTAAGGGATTTGCCTTATTTTGGCCTTCTGAAAGTTAGATGCGTAATCTGACTGTACTTTTTAGCTCCTTCTGGAGTCTGAGGAGTGGGGCTATTTGCAAAGGAAGGTTCCTCTAGCCTGTAACAGGAACCTGAGCAGGGATTAATTTCCCTCCTGAGGTGCTAATCTCCGCATTTACAGTTGGTGGCTCCTGCATAGGCTATTAATTGAGACAAAAACCCCTCATTTGCAGATAGCAAGTTAAATGAGGTCCATCCCACTTCTACCCTTGGGTCTTTAAACCTTCTAGCTTTAAAGTAAAATACTCATATTTGACAAAGGAATAAAACCATGGAGCAGTAATTCCTAGCCTTCAGACCACCGGTGCTGTGCTCAGCTAGAGTGAGTTGTGTGCAGAGCTATGGTGAATAATAAAAACCACTGATATTTTCATGAGGCTTGAGGAGAATGTGGTTGCACAAAGAATCCTGAGGGACACCGATAGTATTTGTGACCAGAACGTTTCATTTGACTAGTGTGGAGTTGTGGGGACCACATTGTCCTTTATGGGACAGACTTTTAGAAGCTGTAATCACAGTGCTTTGTAAGAGGCGTCTTAGTCCCACAATTGCTGTAGGTATGACGGGCTTTTCCTTTTGATCCCTTTATCTGTTATGTAGGTGGCCTGCAGATAGTTTGCCTGCAGATTGTGCTTTGCATATGAGTTTGTGTGCTTGAAAGGATTCTATTATTTTTTTCAGTCAAATTCTTTATGATTACATTTAACAGTCTAATTTCTCAGTTTTAATAGCACTTCTTTATGTTCAAACAAATCTATTTACGTGCTTACCGTGCAAGCTAGTCAATCTACCAGGATAACTTCTTTCCCCTTTTCTTTCCAGAAATTATACCTTCTAATTCGAGGTTCTTGTTTAAATTGTCACATGCTGACATGTACTCGAGCTGTGGTTCACTTACTGCTAAGTCAGCTGAAGGTTCTGGAGAAAGGGTTGCTTCATGCCGTCCATGATCTTGAAGTCATTCTAAACAGGGTAAGTACTGTGTGTTTCTCCATTCCTTTTTGAATTGATAGTCCTGTAACTGTAGAGCTATCCTTATTTCTTTTATTCTGTTTCTTTTAGTTTTTAGAGCAATGTGCAGATGCCACAGGTTCAGAAATTGAAGAAGAGTTAAATCATCACGTTCAGGAAATCTTACAAAGTCATCAGATAAGAGATCAGTGTTCAAACGTAAGTACAATCAGTGCTTTTCCTGGGATCCATTTCCCACAGCGTTCTCCTGGAGAAACTGGCTGCTCGTGGCTTGGATAGGTGTACTGTTTGCTGGGTAAAAAACTGACTGTATGGCCGGGCCCAAAGAGTTGTGATGGATGGAGTTAAATCCAGTTGGCAGCTGGTCTCAAGTGGTGTTCCCGCTCAGTATTGGGGCCAGTTCTGTTTAATATCTTTATGAGTGAATCGAGTTGATAAATTGAGTGCACCCTCAGTAAGTTTGCAGATGACACCAAGTTGGGTGGGAGTGTTGATCTGCTTGAGGTAGGAAGGCTCTACAGAGGGATTTGGAGAGGCTGGATTGATGGGCTGAGACCAGTTGTATGAGGTTCAACAAGGCTGTGTTGGGTCCTGAACTTGGGTCACAACAACTCTATGCAATGCTACAGGCTTGGGGAAGAGTGGCTGGAAAGCTGCCTGGTGGAAAATGATGTGAGAATGTTGGTCAACAGCCGGCTGAATACGAGCTGGCAGTGTGCCCAAGTGGCCAAGAAGGCAAATAGCTTCCTGGCTTGTATTAGAAGTAGCGTCGTCAGCAGGACTAGGGAAGTGATGGTCCCCTTATACTCAGCACTGGTGAGACCGCGCCTCAAACACTGTGTTCAGTTTTGGGCCTCTCACTACCAGAAAGACATTGAGGTGCTGGAGCGTGTCCAAAGAAGGGAAACAAAGACCCTGGTGAAGGGTCTAGTGTACAAGTGTTATGAAAAGCGGCCGAGGGAACTGAGGTTGTTTAGTCTCGAGAAAAGGAGGCCAAAGGGAGACCTTATTGCTCTCTACAGCTGCCTGGAAGGAAGTTGTAGCAAGGTGGGTACTGGTCTCTTCGCCCAAGTGACAAGTGGTAGGACAAGAGGAAGTGGCCTAAAGTGGGGGAGGCTTAGATTGGATATTAGGAAAAATTTCTTCACCAAAAGGGTTATCAAGCATTGAAACAGGCTGCCCAGGGAAGTGGTTGAGTCATCATCCCTGGAGGTATTTAAAAGTCGTGTAGATGTGGTGCTTAGGGACATGGTTTAGTGGCGAATTTGACAGTGTTCAGTTAACAGTTGGACATGATGATCTTCAAGGTTTTTGCCAGCCTAAACAATTCTATGATTCTATGATCTCAGGTTTTGTGCTTTTGACAAAAGAACTGTCTTTGACTATGTAGACTCCAGATTTTGTCTTGGAGTTGTGAACTGTGTTATATTTAGCGGGCTCTCTGGGCGGAATGTCTGAAATTAACCTTAAAATTATTTTATTTGCTGTTAGCATAACTTTTAGGTTTCCCCCTTTCTTTTTTTTATATTTTGATGGTGTAAATATAATAGGAAAATCATCTGGTGCTGCCGTCAGTACATTATGTACAGGTGTTGTTACTTCTCTTATGATACTCCAGCTGTTTTGAGCTGCAGGATATTTTTTTGAGACCTTGTGCATCCAGCAAATTTATGGAAATACTTACAGTGAAATTTTTAGAAATAATTGCATAAGCGTAATTGAATTCTCATTTCCGTATAAATGCAGTTTAATTTACCTTGTTAGTTAAAGGAAAATGCTAGTAAATAAGATATTTAAAGATCTAACGTCTTAGAGCATATTTGTTCCTAAGCCAAGTTTAATTCCTTAATCACTTGTTTCAAAACTAACCTTGAGCACTTTGGAAATTATACATTCCTGAGCAGTCAAAAGAAGTGATTTTTATCAACTTCTGCCTTCTTAAATCATTATTAGAGAAAAGCTTTAAAATTTAGTACTGACTTGAAAAATAAAGACTATTTATGAAATACATTTAAAAAGGAGGGTGGTGAGCATTGAGGGGTGTATGTTTCCAGCAAATATGGGAAGGCGATGGAAGGACACTAGGGATCAAGCCAGGAATTAAATCAGTACAAGGATGTGTGTGCATTGACACTAATAATGTTTGTGTTGGTATTTAATGTTAATTGTGTTTAATGAATTCTTCATATCAACGTTTTAATTTATTTTTGTTATTTTTAAGGTGTGTGGTGTTTTTTTTTTTATCAGGTCAAAAATGTATGCGAGTGTAGAAATAAACTGATAGCGCAGTTCTGGAAAGCACATATGAGTTCAAAGAAATGCCCAAACTGCAAGTAAGTTTAACTACAGGAGAAAGTAAAGTCGGTGTAAAGTTAAATATTGTGAGCATTTGTCTTAACTTTTATCGGCCTTTCCTGGTTTTCTTTTTTTTTTTTTTACCTTTAAGATCTAGGAGATCACTAGTGCGAAAAGAGCATAACAGCAAGCTGACAGTAACCTATCCTTCTACAGTGTACCGTAAACCAGGAGAGGAAGGCAATCTGGATGAGCCAGCAGGTATAATATTTTTCTTCTATTCCAATATGTTTGTACTTATTTTCCTGTATTTAAAGTGCACAGATTCCTAGTAGTGACTATGCACTTGTGACTTATTTATAGAAAATTTAAATAGAACAGTAAGCTCGGCAGTAGAGGAGTGCCCAGCTTCGTTAAGTGTCTCTATTTGTGAGCCTTCTGTGCTTTTGCAGCTTTGAGATTCTGTATGTATGTCAGGACAAGAAGTACAGAAGCATAATCTATGTTGACTCTGATTGGTTTTGGGACACTTCATTTTTGGTGGGTAGACGTTTTCCTGCTAGATTTTTAAAATAGAGAGACTAGAGAAAAAAATATCTAGGAGGAAGATGACCAACCTTACTTCAGAAAGAAAATCAGGTAACTGATCAAGTAATCCTAACTCTTACGGAAGAATTTCCTCTCAAAGAGGAAAAGACAGAAAAGAAAGTAGGTGACGCTTTCCAGGCTTAACTAACATAGGGTTTGAATCACTTTCAACTTACTTTTCTCCTCTTGTTGTATCCTTGATCCTTTACACAACCAGTCAGAATTAAAGCAGATTTGTGTGTAAGTTAACCCCTGGAAAATATTTATATAGGGAGTTTATTCCATTTGCTAGTTTGTGCTTTAAATACTGGATTAAATCCCTAGCGTTGCGGCTGATGAATCACAGTGCCAGTGATGGGTTTTAAGGCAGAAAAGTCAGATCTCTGCTTTAACATCCTATCCATAACACATTTAGTGTCCTATCCGTAACACATTCAACAAAGGCAGGAAAGTTTACGTATCCCAGCGTTACTACTTTTGGGTGACAACTGTGGTTTCACTCCATTAAATTGTAGGGTGCTACTTTGGCCTTTTTATCTGAGCCTCTTGAGGAGTGTCCAAAGTTTGGGGGCTTTTTATTATGCTAGTGATGAAAATAGTTGTTCTGGAGGGTCTGGCGAGTTGCCAGGTTTAGAATACCTGGCCTTACCACAGAAAGCTTCAAAACCAGGCATGTTCTCGCAGTCTCTGTTAACATTCACAGCTGAAGTACAGGGAAGAAACATCTTCCTCCTGCCAGTGTTCAAAAACTAAGACTGGGGCACCTCTTGGTAACTTTCATTACAGTTAAGTCTTATATATTCTGGAATGGGATGGACTATGCAGTTATGTACATTTCGCATAGCCAGTGTCACGGTTGCTCATTGTATTGAATCTTGGAGGGAGTGCTTTTAACCTTGACGTTGATGCATTCATGTTTAAGGGATGGAAAGATTTTCTCTGTGAAGGAATGGGGAATTGAAGTTTCAGTGTGGAAAAATTTGGATTCCTGGACCTTAGCAAAAAGAACAGTAGAAAACTCTTCTACAGTAGAAAGCTGAGGTCATGGGACAATTGTTTTTCCTCAGACTGTGTACTTTGGCTTCCCTGGGACATGAGGGGCTGGCCTGCAAGAGAAGTAGAAATTAAGACCTAAAATCTCTGGCTTTTTGGAAAAAATATATTTTTTGCTGCTTTTCAGTAGCAAGCCCACGTGTTTTTCTTCCTCACTGAAATATAGCTAGCCCAGACTCTAACTTATAATATAGATGAATTGCTGATTGTCACTATTGTATCATCCACTTGGGTATTTCCTGAGAACCTTGATCTCACAGGTAGTACTTGAATCCCACTTCTGTGTTCCCCAGCTACAGGTTGACTCTTGATTTGTGTTTTGGTCAGTGGATGAGATCATTTGAAGAGGGAGTCCAGCTCACCGTTAATCAAATAAAGCATACACTTCAGATGCTAAAGTTGAGTTTTATTTCAGTTACTGATAGTAATATCCATTAGTCACAGAAATGGCTTATTTTTTCCATACTGAGAAGGCTCTTACTTCAGTTCATTTCTTACCCCCAAAACAAATATGTTAATGGTATTTGAAAGTAGATGCCAGCCAGTGTATTTTGTATGTACTTCCATTCCTTCTCTGAGCTGGAGGCACTTATCGTTGTAAGCAAAAAAAACTTTCAAAGTAACACATTGTGATTTTTTTTTTTTTTTCCCAAAAAAATATTTTATTATTTTAATTTTTTATTTTTCAGCTATTGATGAAAGCCAGTTAGGGAAGAGAGGATACCTGACACCGATGACTGCCAAGGAATACATCCTGGCTCTGTGGAAGAATGAAGGTAATGGTTGTTCAGAGCAACGTTACTTTTTCTGTATCATTTAGTGGATGAAATCTGTAGATGTTCATGTCTGAACTCCTTGTCAAATCTTTGTGGTTTGCCTTAAGGACTTGTGGCTGCAAGCTAGATTTTGTGACAGGAGCTCTGGTAGCTAGTGAATGTAGAGAGCTGGGTTTCATAGAATCATAGAATCGTTAGGGCTGGAAGGGACCTTCAAAGGTCATCTAGTCCAACCCCCCTGCAAGGAACAGGGATATCTCCAACTAGATCAGGTTGCTCAGGGCCTCATCCAACCTGGCCTTGAACGTCTCCAGGGATGAAGCATCCACCACCTCTCTGGGCAACCTGTTCCAGTGTTCTGCAACTCTTATGGTAAAAAATTTTTCCTAATATCCAATCTGCATCTACCTCCCTCTATTTTAAAACCATTACCCCTTGTCCTATCACAACTGGCCCTCCTGAACAGCCTCTCCCCATCTTTCTTGTAGGCCCCCTTGAGGTACTGGAAGACCGCTATAAGGTCACCCCGGAGCCTCCTCTTCTCCAGGCTGAACAGTTTCCTGGATAGTTTGATTAGCTATTCTCAAATTGTGGCTCCTCACAAATGGCAGTTGTTTACAGAGAATTTGATGCTCATGTGGTGCTGCACTTACTGTTCCCACAGTTACACTGGTTAAAGACTGAGGATGTATTTAACAATCTCTTTTTTTGAGTTCCCTGTACTCTGAATCTCTCTGCAGTTGCCAGGAAGAACCAAAGTAGTTTCATGTGTCAGTCACAGATAGTAGCTGGAAACTCTTCCTGCTATTTTGCTTTCTCCTTTTGCTGTACTCTATGTTTCTGTTCAGTGCTGTTTCTAAAAAATCATGTGACTTAGCAGATGCTTTTGGCTTGATTGACCAAATGCATCTGGGGGTTTGGGTTCTCAAACAATAGCGGTGATAATGAGTTTATCTTTTCTATTGTGTCTTTGTAGGTTCCTTTTTGCGTTATCTCTTCCCTGGGATGGATCCCCATGGGAATTTGGGATTTAGTCCAGACATGTTTTTTTTAGATCTTCTTGTGGTTCCACCTTCAAGGTAAAATTCTCCCCACAAATAAACTTCTGTAGAAATCATGGCGTTTAGCATATACTTTTTGCACGAGTCAGAGATGCAGACACCGATAGTACAGACATTGGTCTGCTGAAGTGTCAGTGGAGTGTTTAAAAAAAAAAAAAAATTACAGCAGTAAATTATGATAATTATGACTTCAAATTAGTTTATTGAAGGATTAAAATATTAATTATGAAAAAAAATTGTAGTATTTTAAAATATTCCAGAGTATTCTAACTGCATAATACTGGTAGAATTTTTCTTGTTGAGGAATCATTCTTCTTTTACCATTGTCCCAGTATAATATATGAATTTTTAAAAGCTCACTGTTAGTTTATAGGGATTATTTTTCATTCATTAATGACTTGACTTAGAATCTATTTGAGGTTTGTCATGCTACTTTTCAGTGGCTTTAAGCTTCCAAAGTAATTTTTCTGTTGTAGGTATCGGCCCATAAATCGTGTTGGAGACCGACTGTTCACAAATGGTCAGACTGTGAACTTGCAGGCTGTAATGAAAGATGCCAAAATGATACGGAAGCTCTTGGTTTTCATGGCAAAAGAGCAATGTCAGCCAATAAAAATGACAGAAGAAGAAATCCAAACGGTAACATTTGCTGGTCATCTTATTCTTTGCTTTTTGGATGTGTGGGTCGAGTTCGGGTAGGCTTTTAGAATCATAGAATCATAGAATGGTTCGGGTTGGAAGGGACCTCAAAGATCATCTAGTTCCAACCCCCCTGCCATGGACAGGGAAATCTTCCACTATGCCAGGTTGCCCAAAGCCTCATCCAACCTGGCTTTGAACACCTCCAGGGATGGGGCATCCACGACTTCTCTGGGCAACCTGTTCCTCACCACCCTCAATGTAAAGAATTTCTTTCTTATGTCTAACCTATCCCACTTTTGTTTAAACTGTTCCAATAACAGTTTTTGCTTAGGCTGTGGGAGGATAAGCCATTGGAGAGGTTCTCTGTAGCTCTTTCCTTTTTTTTTTTTCCCCCCCTCATGCCTCTTTCCACTCACTTGGTGCAAAGGGAAAAATGCACCACTCACTTTTTATGCAGACTCCTTTAGTCATCATTTTTGTGTTAGATTACTGTATGTGAGACATAACGGGCTCCCGTTACTGGAGAATGAAATACGTACAGCACAAACAGGTCACAATAAAACTTTTCCAGCTTGTCTTTGAATGAAAAATGATGGAAGGGAGGGAAAAAAGCCACTTTAAGTTCTAAGCCTAGTAGAGCCAATTGTGATTGTGGTTGGTTTTGACCATTGATGTCTAAATAGAACCAAAAAATTCACAAATAACTTTAATTAGTAACAATGCTTGTTTGCTACTGACATGATCACATAGTGGTAAATAGTAATGCATGTCACCATGCCTCTTCATATTTGTTCATGAATTGTATTATTGACGGTTCTTTGATACTGGACTTAGTGTCAGCTGAACTTGATTTACATCCTAAGTGTAAAACATTTTGAAAACAGTTTTAGTTACTCAGAATTTAGCCACTAGGTGGAGATACGCTATTAAAATGTTTGACGTGTCAGATGGTTAATGCGTTTTGGATGTGACTGATATTTTACACTGTGAAATGTAGAGTAATGTAGATGATAAAAGCTCTTGACTTTACATTATTTTTATCTAAGAATAGGACTTTGATTCATAGCACAGACTGACTGGTTAGTAACATCTAATTTGGAAAGAGGACTGTCACTTACCAGGAGATGGCTGACTAGCAATCGTGTTTTAAAATCCCACTGGTATATGTAGCTGTGGTGTTTGGAGATATCCCATCCAAGTCAGTTTCTAAAGCTTGACAGCAGACCTGTCTGAGGCACTTGGTTGTAATAATTTGAAAGTTAAAGTTAAGTTCACATTGGTAATGTTTGGGTTTTTTTTTAAAAAAATCAATGTCTTTAATGAGGTGCAAAATAGTGGCCACTGTTTCATTTGCTATTTAATACTGTAATTTCAGCCTAGTAAATAGAAGATATTTTTTGTTAAGTCTAAGTTCCTAATTTCTGTTTCTGTAGGAGACAGGAGAGAACAATGAACCTCTGGACCATTCTATCCTGACAATGATTCCAGGACAGACCATTGCAGATAAGCTGTACAATGCTTGGATTCGTCTTCAGAGCCATGTCAACATTGTATTTGATAGTGACATGGACAAACTAATGACAGAAAAATACCCTGGTATTCGTCAGGTGGGTTGGAGGCAGAATCTTAGAGACTCTGGGCTTTGTTTTTCACAGACAGTTAAAACAATAACTTGATGGAATAAGAAATAAGTGAAATATTCGGGGTTAATATGTAGGCCTTTTCATGATACTCATCACTGTAGTATCTCGAGAATCTGTCTGGTGGTGCATATTTTCACATTTTAATCATTAACTTCTGTTTTCAAAGCTATTGGAGAAAAAGGAAGGACTGTTCCGCAAGCACATGATGGGAAAGCGTGTAGATTTTGCTGCTCGATCAGTCATTTGCCCTGATATGTACATTGGTACCAGTGAGATTGGCATTCCTATGGTAAGGATAAAGGAGCGTTTCTTTTTGGTGTGGCTGGGGACTGATCTACACTGTAACACTTTCAGCTACATAACGAGCAGTTCAAAATGCAGAGATGTTCTGACTCATCTGGACTCTTTCTCCTCAGTGTGTCATAGTGTTCTGGTTTCAGTTGGAACTTAGACTTAGGATTGAGGGCCAAATTGACCAATGGAATATTCCATATCATGCAACATCTTGCCCCGTGTATAGATGAGGGTTGACTGGGAAGTTTGGAACTCTCTTTTGGGGAACTCTTGGAGTTCTATCTGTCTCTTACTGTCTCTTTTCGGGCCTCTCGCTCATCTGGGATTGCGGTGTTGGGACTTACTGTTTCGGAATCGCTTGCCGGGACAGTACAGGCATTGGTC